TCTCTACTCTTGTACAAGCTTTTAGTGGCCAACACACTGCTCAGGTGCCTGTTTCCTCTCATGTCTTTCAGTGACCTGTGATTTTGTGTCAGAGCGTGAAGCATCCTGGTGCGTGTCAGGTAAGTGGAAGAATAAGCCCAAGGGCTGGGATCTGTATGGTCCTGTGCATTCTGCTTCTTAATCCTCTGACACCCCAAGAAAATTTCCACATTAGAAGCACAGCCTCCAGGCTCTGCCCTATTGTAGCAATATTCTAAACCTCAGGCCTTTGTGTTCAGAATGGCAATTCCATGCACACCCTGTCCTGGTCAATTCGAAGGGAATTGGACGGGAGCCACTGATTGGGGTGAAATGGAGGGAAATCCCATAGGTGGAGTCAGGAGGCTCAGAGTTTCTCTGTTTCATGCCACACATATAGCAAAACTTGCACTTCACTTTTCCTCCCGGTAAAGATTTATCCTAGCACCTCCCATCCTCAATAGAATGAGCAGGGGAAGACCTTCAAGGTCCAATTGTCACAGAAGGCTTGAGAGCCACACCCTTACTGCAAGGGGTTTCATGAGGAGCCATCTGGCATAAACTTCATATAATGCAACTCCCTGGCTACTTCTTGGGAACATTGGGCAGAATGATATTTTGAACAATCCATCGCTCCTCAGTGCCACCAAGACAATCCCTACACATGTGACTTGTAAATGCACTGATTGACCTCCCAGGTGAAAGGACATAGGAGCCAATATGGGATTGTGTATCAGGGCAGGCGTTCTCTTCCTGGGCTCAAGGCCATGAGGCATGATTGTTTTAATAGCCTCTCAACCTTAGGAGTTCCCAACATATTTCAGCTCCAAGCATGTGTTACAAAGCTCTGAAAACCCACTTCTGTGACAACTGTGATGTACATATTCCCCAGAGGTATAGACCAGGCAAGTGACACAGGCTGGGGACAAGCAAATGACATCCCTGTAGACTGTTTTTGTTTTTGTGGAGTGATTTGTCTGTGGGTATCAGTCATTATATACATATATAGTGCTCTACCATGGAAAACTGATGACAGGTCTCTGACTTGGTGGGGCCAAGGCAGAAATCACAAAAAAAAAAAACCAAACATTTAATTAGCCCTTTATAGTGCCTTGACAATTGTCATCAATCAGTCTTAGTCTTAAAGTCAGAGAATAGGGGAAAGTGTTTCATGGAAGGCAATCTCTTCGTGGAAACAAGGCCAAGAGCCCTGATAGTTTTCAGAGCCCCTCAAATGTAGGCATTCCCAAAGAATTTCAGCTCCATGCATATCCCACAATGTTCTGAAAACACACTTCTGTGAGATGATGACATAAAAATCATGCTCAATAGGATTACGCCGAGGCCCAGGCTGCAGGGAGGGGAGAAAAAGATGCCTGGTAGCCTTGTGGCTTCCTTGAGGCACAATTCGCAGGCCCTGCTTCCCGAAGCCCTGTTTCCCCTCCTGGGGAATCCAAGCTATCCAGGTGCACATACCTAGGAGAGCCCTCAGGGCTCCATTCCAAAGCACATCGTGTGACTCTCTAGCCTTGGACAAGGCTTTAGGAGCAAATACGATGTTCATGTCCCTGTCTCTTCTGCTGTCTTTCAGTGACCCGGGATGCCGTTTCAGAGCCCACAGCATCCTGGCACATTTCAGGTATTTGGAAATATCAAACCAAGGGCTGGGATCTCTAAACATTTTGTGCCCTCGCCTTCTAAGGCCTCTGACACACCAAGAAACTTTCCACCTGGGAAGCAAGGCCTCTAGGCTCTGGCCTGATGGCGGCAAACTTCAAGCCTCCAACCTGTGCGTGCCGAATGGCAATTCCAAATGTATACACTGTCCTGGACAATTCTAAGGGAAGTGTACAGGAGCCACTGATCAGGGACTTCAGTGCAACACCCACAGGTATAGTCAGGAGGCCCAGGAGGTCTCTGCATCATGGCATGGGGACAGTCCAAGTTAGCCTTCACTTGAACCCCACCCCCGGCCTAGTTTATTCTTTGGACCTCAAAACAGTTTTGGAAGGGTAGGGAAACACCTACAAGGTCACATTGTGACACAAGGCATGAGACCCACGTCCTTCACGAAGAAGCTTTCACTAAGGGTCATCTGGCGCACTATAGGGCACCCACCGAACCTCGCCTACATATTGGGCATATCAGACTTAGCGACATCTGGAACATTCTACTGCTGGACTGGACCCACAAAGGGTTCACATCCCATGTGACTTAGAGAGGCAACTTGATTAACCTCCCAAGCATCAGTCCCCAGCTGCCAAGGACACAGTGTGTCAGGGAAGACAATCTATTCCTGGCCACGGGGCCAAAGGCCTGATTGTTTTCAGAGCCTCCCAACCATAGGCGTTCCCAACGGATTTCAGCTCCATGCATATCCCACTATGCTCTGAAAACAAACTTCTGCTGGCATGGTGATGTGGATTTTCACAGGGGTGTAGACGAGGCATGTGACACAGGGTGGGGCTCAGCAAATGACGCCCTGTGCATAATGGATTTTTTTATGGATTGATTTGTGTGTGGGTATCAGCCATTATATATACATATATATGGTGCTCTACCACAGAGAACTGATGACAGGTCTCTGACTTGGTGGGGCCAAGGCAGGAATCACAAGGAAAAAAGATTTAATTAGCCATATATATTGCATGGACAATTGTCATCAGTCTAAGTCTCAAAGTCAGAGCTCGAGGGGAAAGGTGCAATTACTGAAAAATTCAAGTTAAAATTAGGGCAGGCCAGAAAGACACCTATCCCTCCTGTGTGGCAGGAGTCACTCTTTGATTTTCCAAGGGCCAAAGATTTACTAAACCTTGTCATGTGTTCAGACCATGGTCCCATGATCCCTCAGACCATGCAGGGTCATCAGTGGCCCATCTCAAGAGTGCCCTGACATCCTCCCCTTTCTTCCTCCCAAAAAGGTGCCCT